ATTGTCAAAATCTCATCCCGCGCGCTCTTGCGGATTCGTAGGAAACCCAACACTTTTTAATCATTTCTGTCAAACGGGCTTTTGCGAGCAACTTTTTCGAACTTCTGCAACAACGGTTGCGCACCTGCCAGGGCCATCATCCCAGTCAAATAATACCATGCGGGACACATTCGTTTTTTCTTCGCGCGCGCACGCCGAAATCTCCAAAAACCATTGGGCTTCTTAAGAATTTTAGCACCGCGCATCATAAATTCACACGAATCGCGCCGTAGGTCCATCGGGACAACCATATCCTCTCTCTCTTGTGTATTCCCACATCCCTCAGGAATTTGCCCTAAAGATGTGATCAACTATCTTGTGAGTGCGTATCATGTGTATCATGTGTATCATGTACCATATGCATCATATGCAACAGATGTTCTGTGGAAGGCTTAACAACTTCTGTGGGTTAACAAGGCTTAACAACTTCTGTGGTTGTACGAACGTAGGCTTAACAACTTCTGTGGGTGTGTACTCCACGCCAGTGTAGTAGCCACGGTCGTCCGCAGGCCACGAAGTGAAGTGTCCGAACGTCATAGGGCGGGAAGCTGGGTGTGGGTGGTGGCGAAGAGTCGTGTGGATATTTGGTAGAGCTTGCACTGCCCCCCCACAAAGTGGGGGTATTGGCTGGCGTCGCATGAAAACCCTGGCACTGGTGAGAACACTGAGCGTTCGGGTAAAGTGATTGTTGTTGTTGTTGTTGTTGTTGTTGCTGTTGCTGTTGCTGTTGCTGTTGCTGTTGTTGTTGTTGTTGTTGTTGTTGTTGTTGTTGTTGTTGTTGTTGTTTTTTGTTGTTGTTTTCTTCGACTGCGGCGCTGGTGGAGCATTTTGGGTGGGTGGGTCTCTCAAGCCCTCCGCCCTCTCGCGCGGTGTGCGGTCAGAGCAGGAGCACCGGCAGCGCCACAGGACACTAGAGCGACCTGCTAGCATATCGAGGGTGAAGAGGCGGGTCGAGGTAGGATCAGGAGGGAAAGAAACACACAGACACAATTAATCGTCGATTCCCTAGAAAATATTTGAAAATATGGGAGTTGGGGGGGAAGACAAAAACCCAGAAAATATATGGAAATATGGGGAGTCTTTTTATTTGTGTGTCTTTATTTGTGTGTCCTTGGGCCCCTTCGTAGGAGAAGCACGGGCGGGAGGCCGCGAGAAAGACACTTTGCAGCCAGGAGGGGTGGGAGCGCGGCCATTTGATGTCTGCATGGGGCCGTGGCCGTCGGGACCACACCTGTGGCCGGCAGTGGGGCGAAGCCGCGACCCTTGAACACACGCAAGCGAAGCGGCTGCCGGACCAGGCAGGGCTCCCCGCTCCCCTGTGTGAAGCTCGCCAGCGGTGTTTGCGTTTGCATTTGAGCATTCGGTTGAGGGACCTCCCCCCGAACAGCCGGGCCAGCGATCGTTTTTCAGAAACAACCAGCTTGCCAGAAGACTGGCCCGGTTTCCCGGGCGCGTGCGCCCCTCCAGCGTTGGCACTGAGGTGCGGCCCAGGTCGGTCTCAAGACACTTCTGGAAAGCTGGACCAGGTCTCCTGGATGGCAAGTTTCTGGATCGCATCTCCGGCTGTACTTCCACTCGAACCCTTGAGCGAAACGCTGTTAGGGAAACATTGGGCCCGGGACGGACAACTACCCCAGGAGACACGCCAACGGCGATGTAGGCAACGTCCGTCGATGCAGGTTTCGGTATTGTAGGTGGGGGTGGTTCGTGGCCAACCCAATTGTCGGAAAGGCTAGTTCGTGTTTTCTGCAGCGTGTTCTGCACGAGCTCGGCGTCCAGCAAAAAGACAGATTCCCAACGCCGCCGCTGACCAACATCGCCGTTAGCGTGGCCTTGGCACCCCCGCGGGAGGACCCTGGCCTCCAGCGCACGGAACAAACGATGCAGCGCGCAGGTCTCCCTCTCGCTGCCCTCGGGCTCCTGGGAGCCCCGGCGGCAGGCCCCGCGGGCCGCCCCCTATAGAGGAGCTCTGCTCGGGACGTGGAGCCCGTGGGGAGAGGGTCGGGGCCCTTCGGGAGCCTCGAGACGGGGGTCACTGCAGGCGGGGGTCGGCCAGAGTGCGGGATCCGGCAGGAGCCTGCAGAGCCAGGGCTGCACTGGCGCGGGCCTGCGCGCAGGATATTCTGCATGACCGCACAGGACCCTGCAGGATCTTGCAGGATCCTGCAAAGCCTGACTCACCCGGGCTTGGATTGACCCGGGTCGGTCGATCCCCGGGCTTTCGGGGACTCCGTATTGAAAGAAGCAGCAAGCCCCGACATTTTTTGTTCAACGTCAGAGCGCGGTATAGAGGCAGCACGCACGCGCGGTCGTGCGGACCGGGAGCAGGCAGGCGCTGGTTGACCGGAGGCAAGGGGGGAGGAGGTGAGCGGGCCGCCGCGGGAAGGACAAGGCCAGAGGCGCGGGCACCCACCAGGGCGGCCGGCCAGGGCTCCATCACCCTGGGAGTGGGCGCGGGGCGGCGTCGCGGCGTCGCGGCCACACCCAGGGCCAGGAGCGTAGGCAAGAGTACACGAGGTGCAGGATGCACCAGTACAGCAAGAAGGTGCTGCACGTCCAGACGCCCGGCGTCGTGACTTCTTCTCGGCGTGGACCCCTGGAGGTCCAGACCCGTTCTGTGGGGCCGGCTCTCTACCGCGAGGCCGAGAACGGCCAGAAACCTCCCGTCACGCACTTTCCCACGACGCGAGGGTCTGGGCCGTATGGGAGCCCCTTGGAGGATGACGACGCTCCCGCCGGCGTCGAGGAGCCAGGGCGTTACAGAAGCACGTGGGCACAAGACTTCGCGGGCGCCCGCCGTGGGCAAAGAACATGTCCGTGTCCACGGCCCCCGCGGGCCGGGCCCCCAGGCCGCGCGGCTCCGCGGACGCGGGGAGCTTCTCTGCGGATGCCCCGGGCCGAGCGCATCCGTGCGACCGCGCACCCGCAGGACCGCACCCCGGGATCCAGGCTGCGAGGGCGCGGATGTGGACCCAGAGATCCAGCGTATCGTAAAGATCAAGACGGAGGTTTTCGCAACTTTCGGCCCCCAGGGGCCCTCGCCGGGCCTCGGGACCGCCAAAACACGACTCAGGATGCAAAACCGGTCCTGGGGAATGGGTCGAGACTTACGGGGACCGCGCATTGACAAGAATCACGACATCGGACCTCTGGGGATCGCGAGGCCCTCAAGTGGGGAGCGCCAAAAGGTACCAATACCGCTACTCCCCGGTCCTCTCCCAGGGTGCGTTCTGAACAGAGCTTCGAGGCGAATCCAGCGGCGGCGACGAGGGCCTCCCAGGAGGCCCAAAAAGGAGGATTCGCCCAGGGTCAGACGCCTCCTGGGCACACTCTTTTAGCGCATGCCCCCCACCGCATTGTAGCTCGCCCTCCTCCCATCACGCCATCGGATCTCTGGGGATGCCGCTCGCCGCCCGTGCGCCTGCGGGCTGCACATCGCCCTCCCGGCGCCAGCGGCCAAGGCACCCGGCGCCTCGATCTTTCCAAACCCTCCTTGGTTGGGTATTCGTTTTGCGTAGAGCACTGCGGTCGCGTCCTTCTCCTCCCGCCTCCAGCCTCTCGCTCTCCTCTTGTCTCCTCCTGTCTTGTGCGTACCTCGTGTGTGTGTGTGTGTGTGTGTGCATCCTGGCTGCGGTACCTCTTGTGTATCTTGCCAAGGGGGCTGCGATCTGCGACACTGTCGCCACTTTCGAGGGCTGCTGGTGGGTCCTGCGGAGTGAGGCGCCGCGGGGATCTGAGCGAGAGCTCGCCGTACCTGGGGGGCTGCGATCTGCGACACTGTCGCCACTTTCGAGGGCTGCTGGTGGGTCCTGCGGAGTGAGGCGCCGCGGGGATCTGAGCGAGAGCTTGCCGTCCTTGGGGGGCTACGATCTGCGACACTGTCGCCACTTTCGAGTGCTGCTGGTGGGTCCTGCGGAGTGAGGCGCCGCGTGGATCTGAGCGAGACCTCGCCGTCTCTGGGGGGCTACGATCTGCGACACTGTCGCCACTTTCGAGTGATGCTGGTGGGTCCTGCGGAGTGAGGCACCGCGGGGATCAGAGCGAGACCTCGCCGTTCCTGGGGGGCTCTGGAGAGCTACTGTGGGATACGTTAGGCGCAACGAGCGCATGGCACAGCCAACGGGGGTGATTCGTGAAACAGACCATCTGTTGGGCGATGGCCATAACGTTGCGTCTACACGTGTCCCGCGGGGGTTCTCAAGAGCTTCTGTGGGATACGTTGGGTGCAACGGGCGCATGGCACAGCCAGCGGGGGTGATTTGTTGTTGCGTAGCCCTTAGATCTTGATCGGGGGCCTGCGAGCCTTCCGATTGCTGCTCGCAAAATCACATGCGTCCGTTTTACGTCATCGCCCCCGTTGTAGCAATCCTGATGTACTTATGTCAGGAGGGTAAAAACCACACAGACACAATCCATCGTCGATTTCCCAGAAATTGGAAAATGTGGGAATGGGGGGAAGACCCCCCCCCCCAAATATGGGAAAATATGGGGATTTGTTTTATTTGTGTGTATTTATTTGTGTGTCCTGGGGCCCCTTCATTATGCCCCGCATCGCGCGAGGGCTGGGTACGTCGCCAGGGTCATTGATTCGAGGCGCGGCGTCGGGTAATTTTGTCGAGACACGGCCCCCCAACCTCTCGACCTCTCGACCACTTCCCTGGGACCGGTCTTTCACCCCGAGCTGTTCTTTGACGGCCCCGAGGCCTGGTAGGGCCACCCGAGAGGACGACAACTATCACGAAAGCAGTCTCGCTTCTTGTCGAGACGCCGGAGGAACGTTCTTCTCGAAACGTCGGGAGCCTCGAGACGGGAGGCCTGGCAAGGCCACCCGAGAGGATGAAACCCATGAGAGAAGCAGTGCCGCTTCTTGTCGAGACGCCGGAGGAGCGCTCTTCTCGAGACGTCGGGGGCCTCGAGACGGGAGGCCTGGTAAGGCCAGCCCTCCCACCCGCTGCCTCGAGGAGGTCTTCCTGGTCGACAACGCGGAGCTCAGGACCTCAGGGGGAACGTTGTAGGCTCGAGGCTCGAGGCTCGAGGTTGGAAGTTTCGGCAGCTGCGCCTCGTCGAGGGCGTTCCGGGTGTACTCGGGTCGTCCCGAACAACCGCCGGAGAGGGGAGTTATGGCCCGAAAGCCATCCCCGGGTGGATTTCTCCAGGGGGCGTGTATTGACCCCGATCGACCTTGATTGCCGATGGGGGCCCGATGGGCCACCCCGCCCATGACCGCGCGGAGTCGCTATCGGCGGCCTGTTGCCGATCTGTCGGCGATGTATCACAGATTCGAGGTGGAGTGGGAGGAGGAACGGCGTGTACTTGGGGAGGGCGTAGGGGATGATGATGATGATGATGATGATGATGATGATGATGATGATGATGATGATGATGATGATGATGATGATGATGATGATGATGATGATGATGCTGATGCTGATGCTGATGCTGATGCTGCTTCTGATGATGATGTGATGATGATGATGATAATGATGATATGCTGATGCTGATGATGATGCTGATGATGATGTGCTGCTGATGATGATGCTGATGCTGATGCTGCTGCTGATGATGATGCTGCTGATGAGGATGAGGATGAGATGAGGATGAGATGAGGATGAGGATGAGGATGAGGATGATGATGGTGATGATGATGATGATGATGATGATGATGATGATGAATGATGATGATGATGATGATGAGGAGGAGGATGATGATGATGATGAGGAGGAGAGGAGGAGGAGGAGGAAGGCCGGAGGAGGCAGGAGGAGGAGGCAGGAGGAGGAGGAGGCGGAGGAGGAGGAGGAGGAGAAGGGGGTGGAGGAGGAAGAGGAGGAGGAGGAGGAGGAGAAGGAGGAGGAGGAGGAGGAGGAGGAGGAGGAGGAGGAGGATGAGAATCAGAATGCGCTATCACGGAGTGATCCATCCGAAACTACCTCGCTGCCCGTGCTGCCTGCTGGGCACGAGTCAGGGCCTTCGGCCATTCGCCACGCTTGATTCGTCGAAGATATTCCCTCCGAGTATCTGTGAGCTGACGAGGCTTACAAAGGCCCTGGAGACCTGGACTATCATGCTCACTACTATAGCAACCGCAACTACTGCAGAACCATATGCCGAGGATGCTATGAAATGCCATAAGATGTGTGTCATGCACCCAGCCCCCACCTATATGTAGGTGCTGACCGACAGGGAGGTGGAAACCATGAGCATCCCCAGGAGTGAGCAGAAAGCACGGGGACCGACGCCACCTGTACAAGGCCGCGTCTGTGGCAGATCCCCGACACCGACGGCACCTCTTCCCGCTCTCGTCCAGAGCGTGGTCCGTCTCGAACACAGTGACAACATTGACTGATGGCGGAGGGGGAGGGGGAGGAGGAAGAGAAGGCCCCGCCTGTGTCGAACTCCTCGAGGTGGGGGGCTTCGAAGCAGCTGCAGCGTTCAGGGCCTCAAGGCCCGCGCGGAGGAGGCGACGCCTGAGGAACAGGGTGTCTCTTTCCACCGTCCAGACCTTCGCTCGCAGAGCCTCTGGGAGTCGAGCGGACTTCGCGGCCTCTCCAGCCAGTACGTCCGCCACCGCATTGCCAACCGTGAGAAACAGAGGTACCTTCTTTTCTAATTCTTCTTCTGCCGTCAAATGGGATGCAACCTGGAGAACCACAATCTGTGACGTGTCACGGTCCTGGTCTCTGAGCTGCTTCCTGATCATGTCCCAGATCCCCATGTTGCCCCCCCGATGGTTCTAGGTAGAGCCCAGCATACCATCCGTCGGCGACGGCAGAGTTATCTGTAACGTATATCAGGGATCCCGTACTGCACGTAATGGCCAGAAGGGGCCCGTAAAGTTCCCCGCGAGGTACTGTTTGCCTACGCCCAGGAAGAAGTCCAAGGATAGCAGAGCGTACGCTTGGGGGACTGTATGAGCTCATATTGGCGACTGCGCTGCCGATGCGGCGAAAGCGAGGTTCGCGTGCATCAGGCCCGCCACTGGCATCACCGAAAACCACAAGCGGCCTATCTTCACGCCCACGGCCCAAAAAGGAACCATGCAACTGCTCGTCATTAGTACCATTGAAGAAAGTCCAAGAGGGCACGTCCGAAGGTGGGGGGGGGGGGTAGCCGTCCAAGCCTTCGGGATCATGCCTCTGAGCCAGTAGCAAGCCTCGCTCTCGTGCAACGTCTGAGCGCGCGGGGCCAGGTCGTCGGAATCGACAAAGGCCTTCGCACTCCTATTGCACGCGCAAGTCCAGAAGCGGTGAAACGCTGTCTCAGCACCGTCGTGGCACCGATGGCATTGAACATCTATCTTGGTTCTGGTCTCGTCGCCGACTCGCTGCCGTGGCCAGAAACCCCCTGTAGCTATGTTGACCATGACCTCCGCGAGCCTATGGCCGTTCTTGCACAAGCGGAGACCCTGGATGAACTTACGGTAGCTATAATTGTCGACACCGTCGGCCATCCCCTCCCCGCAATAGTGAATAGACGCGCGAGACCAGCAGCTAGCTTGAAATGCGGATTCAAAATCGTCAAGAATGTCTGAGTAGTCCTCAAAGCCCGAGAGGTCGGACTCCGAAAACCTCCACGTGAAATCAGGGGTGTCCCAGAGGTTCGGCGCCTGCGGGTCCCAGCCAGCCTCCAGAAGGTATCCAATAATGGCCGCTATGGGCCCCCTGATCTGCCGAGAAACCTGCGACGGCGATATGCTACGAAGTTGTTCGACGATACGGGGCCACACCAAATTAACCATAGGCCGAATAGCTGGAGTACTGAACCAGACAGACAGCCATGAACGAAGAGCATCTCTAGGAAACTTAACTCCTGGATCTTGCCCTGGAACTTTGAGATCGAGAAGAGTGGTGAGGCATCTCCCTTTGGCCTTAGAACCCAAAGAGGCCCCAAGACGACGACGAAACTGCTGGCGATAACATCCAAACGCTCCGTGCACTTGGTGGCCGTACGATCCTGCAGCCTGGGCGCCAGCTCTCTCTAGCCGACCTGTCACAAGGTATTGTTTGGACGCGCGGGCAAAATGTCGAATCTTGGCATTCATACCTCTGGCTTTCGCCTGCCGCTTGTATCGTGCCTGCCTAGCTGGCCGACCGTTCCCAAGGTCCACGCCGAGATACGGGGCTTGCCGTACAGCAGATACACTGATGCCTACCTTCTGCAGCTGCCGTGAGACAAAACGCCCGTCTGCGGGTCTGGAACACATCAGCACACTTTTAGGCGACGCCTTGAGACCAACCTCGCCGAGCTTGTTGCATGTATCCCGAAGAACGCGAAACAGTTGAGCTCTGACAATGCGACGTGACCCAAGGACCCGTTGAGAAAGATCGTCAATCCAGATCCGCATCGACATGCCCACGTGGGCCGTCGAAATCTGCTGGAGAATAACATATACCATGCAACGTGCAAAGCGGGTGCCTCCTCGTAATCCTTGCACGATACTTCGCGACGGTTGAAAAGCTTGAGAGAAGCTACCATCTTGGCCAAGGGTCCTTGGGCACATACAGTTTTGAAGTTCAAGGGCCAGAACCGCCGGGGGGAAGTTCAGCTTCAAAGCAGTACGCACCAAAACAGCCCACCCAATGGAATCGTAAAACCCCTCCACGTCAAGGAGCCCATGGCCGTTGTCCGTGCCGAGCTTGAAATATGCTTCGTCATGAAGCGCACGGAGGAATGCTTCACGAAGCGCAGAGTTTCCTCGGACGGCCGCGTCCCACGCGGGCTCTGCCGAGGAAGACCAGGAGCGGACGTCTTCTTCACGGGCCAGTGACCACACTCTAGTGAGCATGGTCAAAAGCCCGATCACCCTGTCCCCTCCCGGCTTCTTCGGCAGTAGCCGACCTAGGACCATCAGCACTTGCCAAGGCCATGTCAGCTGGGCCTCACAGGCCTCAAAAAGAGAAGTGAGATGCTCGATCCCCTCGTCGGGAAGCCGCTGGATATCGACTGGCGACATCTGGTCGATACCCTGGCCAGCCCGAGCCTTCATGCGCGTGGTGGCTCTGAGGACTCGCTCTGGCGTGAGAGGTGGCAGCTGCTCGTCGTCGCGGGCCGCCTGGATCTCGCAAAAAGGGCTGATACCTCGCAGAGATTCACTTCTGACGGACTCCAAAGTTTGTGCCATTTCCTAGCCTTGAGATCGACGCTATCCCCGGGGTGAAAAATAACCTCCCCCCCCGAAGTAAGCTCGAACGGAGGGGGGGGGGGTGCAGAGGGACTTGTGCAAAACACCAACAGCGGGAGCCGACAGGACCCAGACCCGAAACTCTTCCAAGGATGATTGGAGCTCCCTCCGCCGGGCACGACCAGCAACTTGTTTAGCAACAGAGGCTAGGTGAGAAAGCTTGGCAATAGGCACCTTGTCGATGCTCGTGAGATAAGTTTGCCAGAGAGACCATGCTCCATCCGCGGGGTCCAGGCTCGCAAGAGGCAAGTGCACGCTGTCGGGGATGTCTTGCGCAAGATCTTTACACGCACGCTCAAGACGACTGCGCTGAAGCCGACCATTAGATTTGGTAAGATGATGATGGATATTGTGCAAGACGGTGTATACACGACCCCACCAACACGCAACCATACCATGCAGCGGTTTCTGGCGCACTTTATCCAAAACGTGAACCTGAGCCTCCTGAAAAAGAGGACCATGTCCCCTGGATCGTCCATCCTGAGAAAGCCCATGCTGTTCCTGAATAGCGGATTCGACCGTAGAAACCATTGCTCGTAAAGCGCAGTGACACCCAAGATACGCCCTCCACCTGCAGCAAACGCGGCTGAATCTCGAATGACTGGCCAGACACTGCCGTAGTCACGGACAGGAATGTAGCCCACCTCCTGCTTAGCCGCGGCCCACGTCTCTGGAGAGATGCGGAAGCCAGGCGGGGGAGGGAGAGGAGGAGAGGAGACTGGATCCCTGGGGGTGCTATCCTCCTGACTGTCAGCACTTACGGGGGCTGGGGGCTCTTGATTATCATCCGCGGGCTCGTGGAACTCATCAGCAGCCTCTCCGACTGCAGGGAAGAGATCATCATCTTCGCTCGGGGCACGAGCCCCAGGTGGAGGACCCAGGAGGGAGGACAGAGACAGGGGAGCGCCAACACTCTCCTCATCGCCGTCGCCACCTTCAGCTCCACCAGCGGCAGGCGCTCGAGAGTGCGCAGACTGACTGACTTGCAAGCCCTGCTCGTGCAGGTCACCATACAGCTCGTCGTATTGCTCATCGGCAGAGGCCCTGGCAGCCAGCCGTCGCTCGTTGGCCGCGGCTTTGCTCTTACTGGACTTCGACCCAGGCACGGGCATGGCTTTCGGCCTCGGGACCTGCGGAGGCTTCCGCGCCATTTTGAGCTCTCGACAAAGCAGCTGCTGGGCGGAGGACCTCAACCGAACGATAAGCCCGCAGTGGGGCCTCCACGGGACGTCAAGGCACCCTTCGACAGAGATGATATAAGGGATGCTAGAGGCGCTGGCGACGATGTAATCGATATGAGTGCCGCCGCCGAGCGCACACGTGTATGCGAGGGGTGCCTGAAAGACGACGCCTCCCACTCTCTCCAAGAACCCAGCTCGTTGCAGAGTAGCCGCAGGCAGGTTAAAATCGCCCGCCACAATCCACGGGGGCCGACATTGGAGGAGCAGGGCTCCGAGGCGTGTGAAACGCTGAAGGTTCCTGCCCGCAAAGCCGTCCTCGCAAAGACCGTAGAACGCAATGAGAATGAATGAAAAGCCTTTCTGGTGGCAGACTACAGCAGTAAACCCATCTAAGGCGTTGGGGCCGTCGGCGGCGAGGTCGCTCCAGATCGCCTCAGAGGAAGCAAGGGGATGCACCTGGAGGTGCTTGCGAGCTAAAGTCCACTCCCCCCCCTCGTTCGCACGGGCTTGCCCCTTCTGAGTGGTGGCCCTGCCTGTGGCTCGAGCGGGGTTCGCAAAAAGCTTGAGGTGCGCCTTGCTGGCCGAATCCAGCCAAGGCGCGAGTGAGTCGGCAGACTCGACATGGGTCTCACACACTGCAAGGTAACTAAAAGACCTCAGCCTGGCACCTGTGAGAAAACCCCGCGCCTTCTTGCCCATAGCCGTGACATTGGCAAAAAAGGCGCGTCTCAGATGGTGAAGCTGAGGTCGTCCCCGAATCGGGAGAGGACGAGCGCGGCGCAGTCCCCTGAGACTGCGACTGGGCGCTGGTCCCCTCGGGCGGCGATCACGCCGTCGGCGCGGACGCAGGCGCACCTTTGCCTGCTGCCTTGGCCGCTGCCGCCGCTGCCGCCTCCGCTGCTGCCTTCTTGGCCTCGCTGATGCGCTGGGCAGCCGCCTGCGCCCCAGCCTCGGCCGCCACCCCTGCATCAGGGCCGGGTGGCTCGGCCACGGCGGGCGACGCGGCCGCCCCCTGGCTGCCGCCGCTGTTGCCGCCGCTGCCGTCGGCCCCGCTGCTGCCGCCGCCTGGGTGCACTTGCCCGTCTCCGCGACGCTTCTTGGCCATGCGACTCTCGATGGCCTGCTGGACTGACTTGAGCTCCGCGAGCCACTTATTCACCTCGTCTGACTTGGACGCGAGGTGCGTCTTCGTTGTCGCCAAATCCTGCCTGAGCTTGGCGAGGGTCTCCTTCTCGTGGCCCTCGCACTCCAGCTGGTCGACGGACTCGAAGAAGGCCTCGTCCCACGAGACTCGGAAGAGGTGCTCCTCCTCCGCGTCAGCGGTCGCGGCGGTGGCGGACTCGGTCAGCAAGCCGTCCTGCGTCGCCAGCGCCTTCACCGCTATCTTCTTGGCCTGCTCGGCCCTGGCCAGGGTGAGTGCTGCCTCCTGTTCACGCTGCTGGGCCCGAGCCAAGACGGCCTCGGCCTTGATGAGCGCTGCCACTGCCTGGTCGTGCTTGACCCCAGCGTCTCGCACCGCCGCCGACGCCTTCTGCAAGGACACCTCTGGGCTGACCGTGGACTCCGCCGCCGCGGCCTGCTGGCGCTTGCAAATCTGGGCCTCGAGCAGCGTGCGCATCCCTGGGTCCGTGGTGACTGCCAGCGCCTGCTGGTACGCCACGAGCTCCGAGGACGCCGCTGTAGGTGCTGGTGCTGCTCCTCTTCCTCCGTGGTCGGGCCGAAGCGCAAGCTGGTTGCTGCCGTCCCCTTTCTTCGGGCTGGGACGGAAGAGCTCGACCTGCTTGCCGCACTTGCACCAGTACCCACGCTGCTGGAGTACGCTGTTCCACTCACACTTACCACAACTCGTGCACTTGGTCCAGAGAGAAGGATCCTGGGTGTGAGCGGCTGCTGCAGCCGCTTTCTTGCCCTTGCCCATCGCCCTCTTTGCCAACCTGATCCTGCGGCCGACTGATCGCAAGACAGGTGCCCCTCAAGCACCACGTGGAGGTGAGGCGAATCACCCCGAGAAAATGCAAAATGCGCTCGGGGCGAAATGTCTTGAGAGGAGGAGGAGGAGGAGGAGGAGGAGGAGGAGGAGGAGGAGGAGGAGGAGGGAGGAAGGAGGGAGAGGAGGAGGAGGAGGAGAGGAGGAGGAGAGGAGGAGGAGGAGGAGAGGAGGAGGAGGAGGGAGTGGAGGAGGGAGGGAGGGGGAGGGAGGAGGAGAGGGAGGGGGCCCCCCCAACGCTGTCTCTCAGGACCCCGGACCCCGGGCTCGCGTACCGGCTCAGCAGGCGGATGGACCACAGGGACTCCTCCGTGTCGCCCGCCGTCTGGGGCACCGCCGTGCGGGGGCTGGACCGGGGCGGCGGCTGGATCCAGGCGGGCGGCAGCCATCGAGCAGGGGATCGACTGCTACAACATTGATTTGCCCCAACATGGATTTTCTCGTCGCATGTGCAAACAACCGCGTAGAATCTTCGTAGATCTACGAGCAGTCTACAGGCCTCTTTTCCTCGTAGCCTCGACGAACACATCCATTCTGGGGTAAATCGATGCTGTAGGCGATCCGCTCCTCGGAGTCAAAAGAGGGGGGGGGGGCAGGGCCGCGAGGCCGTCGGGCGCGCGTGAGACCGCGCGCAGGTGCCCCCCTCCGCCCGCGCAGCCTCCGCGCGCTGGCGGCCCGCCTGCGGCCAGGACGCCGCGCGGACGGAGCAGCCCGGGCTCGGAAGGGGCCCGCGGTGCCCCAGGCCCTTCCGCGGCTGCCTCTCCAGCGCTCCTCGTGAGCCCTGGGGCGGGCCAGCAAGGGGCTCCGCTCCCTGCTCCGCGCTCCCGGATGGCGCATGGCAGCTGCTGGACCACGCCGCCGCCTCGTCCAGACCTCCCACGGCGTGCCTTCTTCGCGGCGTGGAGCCCTCTGGGAGGTCTCGACCCACTCCCCGAGGCCAGTTTTTTTTCACCCTGCGCAGTTCTCTGACGGCGGGGGGGCCCAGCGGGGCCCCCCGGGGGCCGAAAGTTGCCGGAGGCCCCTGCGCCGCTGCTCCCCTGCGACGCGAGGGAGGGTGACGTCCGCCCCGCCCTTCGTGCG